TCCCTGGTATCCAAATTCTTACCAGGCACATATAATCCACAGTTTACTTTTACAGAAACCTAGACAAATGAAGATAAAATAAGAATTATCACATAAGTTACCTGTTATTTTTATTAAAAAATCAACCTTGGAATTAGAGGGGTTCCTTAAGTTAAAACTTTATCATGACATCAAAAAGATGAGTTCAACATGACAATGTAACTAAAATGACTCAATTGAATGAGAACCATGTGCGACTTACTATACAGTAAATTTAAACATAATTTTATATACACAGTAGGTAACTGGTAAATATTTGTTGCATTGTATCAAGTAGAGCAGTTTTGGGGTTTAGAACAAGGAGTTGTTTCTGCATATGGAGAAGGACCACACTGGATCAGATTAGAGAGGGATTTGAATGCATTTCTCAGTTTTAATTTCACTTTCAGTGCAGAGCTGTGGATGTCTCCGGACTGAGGAAACTGGCAGCAATTTTGAAAGTAGAATTTGACCAAGTTGGTTAAGATCGATTGGAGCAGGGAGACAGAAACGGCATAAGACTCCCTTCTCAGGGGTGACTGTTGTCCCCTTATCCCTCTTAAGTCAGATAACTATTGGGTTGTCGGAAAAGCATTTTTGCAACGAAAAACAGAAAAAACAGAAACAGAAAAAATACGTCATGGCTTTTCCGACAACCCAACATTTTGTTTTCTTTTAAATCTTATGATATCTATTCACGCTGCCTGAGTTGTCACATTTTTGTACTTGCTTTAAAAGTAATTCCAAAGTAATTTTTACTTTGTTGTACGTTGCTTTTTTTCTTCAACATTTTCCACCCCCAAATAGACTGTGCCTTTTACGACTTGGGACCATTCTGTAATGTTATATATGAGAAAGGGTGACACATGAAATAATCTTATTTGCTCTCATGTGAAACACTTTTGGCAAATCTTTATTCTTCTGTGTGGTGTTAAAAGATAAATATTTTGCCCATTCATTTTAACAGCTATTAATTAAAATCCATTACTGCAAAATATTTAGAATATCATTTTCTTAGACTTGTTTTTTATTGACGATGAATGTATAGGCTAGCAACTACAATAAGTTTACTTCCATCCCTTTGTTCACCTCCCCTTACTTCCTACCCTCAGGGTTTAAAGTCTTATTTTTAAGCCTGTTTTTGTTGAGTTATTTCCCTTAATATCTGTCACATGCATTTGACTGACACATTTGTCGAATGTACCAGGGGGCCTTCACTGCAGAGCCTACTCAACTTTAAAGGCTTGTTTCTTCCTTCAAAGAAATGGAGTCAAATTAATGATGGTCCTTACAGAAGCAGGAAACTTCTGCATCTTGACACACTGGCAGGGAGGCTCAGGCCACGTCTCCCTTTAGCCTGCCTGGCAGGTTTGATGGACCAGTCCTCACAAAATCGAAAGGCTTTCTTTTGAGTGGCAGCCTGCCACCATCAGTGTTTGTCAGTGTGGGCACTGGAGCAGAATAGCATTTGGAAAGCAAATCACATATAACTGTAAATGAGAGCCAAGTTGAGGGAGAATGGCTCTACTAGAGGGAGCGAAGAAAGGGTGATGGCTTGTTGTACTTATATGGAGACATCACACTTCATTAATTTACATACAGAAAGAACCTTCATCATTGAGAATATGAGTAGAGTACCACCCTTATAGAGCAACCTCTTGACTAATCTTGTAAGACCACTGTGTTTCAGATATCTTTGCCAGATTTGGGAAGTAATTTATGCAACTATCGAATCATAGAAGAAGCAGGATGGGATGCAGTGGGTTTGGTGATAAAAAAAAAAAATGAAAAAGAGCTATAAAACCAACTGTTCTGTTTATCTTTTGAGGAAAATCCTGCGATTGGTATTAATAAATCAGTAATAGAAAGAATAAGAAATTGTTTTTGATTATCTGATAAAATTGGGAAAAACAGGTATTTTGTCATTGATATTTAGCTAAATTTCCTAATATTGCTACTTACGGACCGTATGAATTTTGATAGTGGAATTGTACTACTGTTATTAAATTTTCATCTATCATTACCACATTTGTATTTTCTGAGGTTGATAACTTGATTGTAAATAACTGCAAAATCTAAGACCTATGCGGCCTTTTAGTATTATAGTTTATTTCACAATCTAAAAAGGCCAGAAGTTGACCTAAACATTGTAATGTTATCTAGAGACCATTCCATCTTTCTAGCTTTGAGTTTATTTTTTTAATTTAATAATTTATGTAATCAACATAGGTAATGAAAAGAAATATACTTACTTTATTTAGCTAATAGCCACTAATGATGTAGTAACATTTAACAAATGAGTCATAAGAATTCAGAGCACATTGTGTGATGTCTAAGATTATCATCAGTAAATATTGGCTAACTATATAAATGATGATCTCCAGTGTTATAACAAATGACAAGAGTGGATTGTGGAGATACTGTTTCTTCTGAAGAACACACTATCTAATTTTGTGGAATAAAATCTACATTTTCTAACAAATAAACTTCACCATAATGAATATATTATTGGCTATTTAAAGAAATATATATATATATATATATGAATATATAATATTGAAAAAAATATATTTTAAAAGGATATATATATTTTTTAATATGTGATTCCTTACTAAGATATTTCTGGAATAACTGGAACACATATTTTTTGGAGAATAAAATAATCACCATATTTGGTTGTGCACTAGAAATTAACACTTGGATCTGATACTGGAAATTGCTTCATTGTATTTTTATAAAGATCATATCTAACCCTGACTGTAAATTTTTAGAAAGAATTCTTCAAGAATGTTTCTTGATATTTTCTAATACTTTAAAGTATCTACTAATAATCACAATACACATGTTTTCAAGTTTAAAATATACTGGAACAACAGTATGGTACTGCTTTCCACAAGCTGAGTTCTGTATTAAGATCTTATTCTCAGATTCTCAGGAAGGGTGTCTGTCTAGTCACTCAAGTAGCAAAGGCTCCCACTGTAAGAACATTTTCCTCCTGGGAGAGACCAGTAATGTTGACCCTGAGAAGATCATCATGCATGGATCTCAGTTGCTTAATGTCATTTAAAAATTCTAAATTATGCTTTTTTGCATATCCTTAAAAACAAAAATTGACTTAAAATAACAGTAAAGGATGTTTGCCTCTATTTTTTTTTAAAAGGGCCATGAACTAGGTGAATATGTAAAGTCATTTAAATATCTACATTTGCAACTAACTGTCTTCTGTGAGTTATTTGCAGCAATTGAATTGAGCTTATAGTATATATATATATATATATATATATATACATATATATATATATATATATATACACACACACACACACACACATATATGATTTCTGAGAAATAGATAGTATGATTATTTCTGACTAGATTGAAAGCTTACATTTGTATTGTGGTATAAATTAGTCATAAATTCTGTTTTATTGTATTCAGTTGCATTGTTTTCATCAGGCAATTTATCACATGGGTGTATGTGAAATTTTCTTCATTTATTAAATTTCAGATTATGTATTTCAAGCCAGAGCAAGACTTTAAACCTTTTTCCATAAGTATAGCTTCAGGTAAACAAGCAATTTTAGCCCTGAAAATAGCTTCTGCTTCTGTCAACACGTTGTTTATTCTTTCTCTGAGATAAAAAGTTCAGTTTTCTGATATTTGTACCAAGATAAAGTCAGTAAACAAGATTAATATAGTGTGGAAAAGGTTGTCAGCAGCCCTGGCAAAGGAAATAACTCGCCTGGACGTAGAACATACTGTAAACTGAATAAAAGTGTCAGGTCCACCCTGAGATAATGTGATCATGAACCTCTAACAAAGCATGACATAGGCACACTCGGCTTTTCTCATAGCCACAGTGGAGAAAATGGATTACTGTATTCCAGGAGACCCACTGGAATAGCATGAAAACCTCATTTTGAGACGAATGCAGGATGCAGTCCTGGAGCTGGGCCACATGTTTATCTGGGGTGCTCCAACCGTCAGGTTAGGAACGTCATCATCTGTGCATATTTGCGATATTTGCATTTCTTGGAATTTCAGAATAGATCTGGTGTCCTTGTTCCCCAAGTGATACAAGAAGAAATTAATTTTGAAAACATTAGTGTCCTTCCTTCCACCCCCCCCTCCAAGCTCTCTTCTGCCACATTATGCCCTTTTTTTTTTTTTTATTCTATACTCTAAGTGGTACTTCTGTAATTATAGAGGGACTTTATGGTGATGGGGCATGACAAGAGCTTTCGTTGTAAGTTTCTGTTTTGTTGATTGTGATGGTAGATGCATTCTTACATGGTGCAGCTTATGGTCCTTTCGAGAGCACTCTATCCGATAGGAAAGTTGCGACTTCTTTTTTAGTGGGAGTACGTTTCATTATGAAAACATTTGAACCTTTAATTCTTTATCAGATTTTTAATTTTATTAAGAAACAGAGGAATAAAATATTGTTCTTTTCAGTGAAATTACATTTTGTTCTATGTACATATACAGATAATTCCTAATGGGAAAGCTATGAAAAAGACTAGTGACTACTTCCTTAAGTTTTTGCATGTATTTAAATGTGTACATTTTAATGCATGCTATTTATATTTAGGATTGAACTCCAAATACATTGGATCTTGGAAATGGCATTTGCTCTGCACTAATCATATTAAGCAAACTTCTTTTTATTTCACCTGTGATTAAATATATGCACAGTTGAACAGTATTTGAAAATAAGAGTTGGTGGTCTAGTTCTTAAGAAAGATGTTTTTTCTATTAGAAAGGTACTTTTAAAATTCTAGCAGATAAGTAGACCAAAACTCCAGCATTCTTACCAGGAATTATGTTATACTTTTGGTCCGTGCAATTTTGTTTAGATTTTGAGAATTAATGTCATGTTCTCCATTTTAGAGGGGATGTCTTCAAATGGAAGTGTCCCTATTCTTCACTGTGTCTCTAGAAGCTTATCTATGGCTTATTTTTTGTTTTAATTCTCCTTTCAGGGGAGCGCTCCTGGCCCGGCCAGCAACAAGAGGATGGTTCATTTTTCCCCAGATTCTCATCGCCACGAGTGAGTATGCACTGAGTGTGTATAACCTTGTCTCTCTTTTGGGAAACTGCTAGGTGTTGGGGCTAGTACAGGTGGTTTACTTTGTTTGTATCTTGAGAAAGAGCAAGTGTCATATAACAGTGACAGCTGTGCAAGAACCATTTCAATGAACCCCATGGCAGAAATTTAAATACAGGTTTTTAAATACAGTGATTCTTCTATTTGTGACAGAATATGAAATTCATGCTTTATTGAAATTCCTGTATTATCCTAAAGCATTTAAATGTTCATTACGTTAAGTAGTATCAAGCTCTTCTACTCCATTCTTATGTACTTCCTCCCCCAACTCAATGTAAAGTACTAAAATGAAGAGAAAGTCACTCTTTCTCATTACTTCTCTAATTACTCATACTTCTCTTTCTCATTACTGCTCCCCACTCCTGTCCAGTATGAGCTATGAAGGGACCAGAATATATTTCCATTTAGCAATAAAAAGGAAGATACTTAATTTACTACATGATTCCAAAAGTCATTGAACTTTGACTTTGGTGAATTATTGGGTAAATTTCTAGGTGCTAATTCTATTTCTAAATATGTCTTTGTTGGAAGAGCTTAAATACATTATATATTTTGGCTCAATATCATATGTCTGTTGTGAAGTTGGTTGAACTTGAGAAAGGCCATAAAGTATGGAAAGACACAAATTAATTACTGAATGAATTTTTTTTTCTGGTAAGCAATCATATTAGGATCCGTCAGATCCAATTTTTTTAGATTCTATCCTTAGCAAATATAAAACAGAAATTATTGTTCAGGTATAGCTTATTTTATATAGATTATTGATGTAATATAAACATAAAATGTCATATGGATACCCATTTTATATAGACATGCATTTTAAAAGGCTGTGATATCATAATTTTCCCTTTTAATACCTTACTTCCTTCATTTTTATTATCCCATAAGATCTCTTTTCAAACAGAAGGGGGAAAAAAAAAAAAGACTAAAGCATTTGTTATCTCAAAATGACAACCAAAAGACTTGTGTATTTGCTTCTTAATTTTCTGTTTTGATATTAAACAAAGACTCCAGCAAGTAGATTTACAGCTGCTTTTAAACCAAAAATTGCATCTGGTAACGACTGTAAAAGCTCTGCGGGCAGACAAATGCCATATCGCTTTATTGCCATGGTAATCCCATGCCAGCAGTGCCTGGTACACAGTAAATAGTTATTGAGTGAATAAAGACATGAAAGTGTGAATTTAAAATAGGACAAATTGGATAATGTCCATTGAGTATTGCTTCTCAGATTAGCAGGTATGACCCTAATCATGTTCCCCTGACATCCCTGCCACACCAGTCTCCCCAGCGGTTCACAGAGAATTAAATGAGATTTTCTGGGGGTGGAGCTCAGATGTCAGTATCGTCAGTTTCCTGGTCATCCCAATGTGTTTGATTACCATTCTCTCAACACTCAGGACTACATGAAGTCATTTGATGGCCTCACACACCACATGCTGCTCATTCAGTTTCGTCAGTATCTCATGCAGACCCCACCTTTTCCACTTCCTGCTCCATGACTTCAATCAAAGCTCTGTTATCGCTTCCATGAGGATTCTAGTGAATCTTCCGACCTCTCTTCTCTTTTCAGTTCATGCTACTCAAGCTCAGCTCTCCTCCTTTCATTTCCCTACTTAAAACCTCCAGGACTGCCTCTTGCAGGTGCAGAAACCTTCTTGGCCTGTCATTAAATGCCTCCCATAATCTGGCTCAGTTACGTTTTCACCTTAGCTGTTAACTCTCCTGGCTAACATCTCTGTTCCGGTTATCCAGTCGGCCTCTGTTCCCTGAACATGACCTTTACACCACTGCCCGCTTTAGCTGGGACTTCACGCATGCATTCCCGCCTACCCAGACCTATCAAAAGCCTATTGGTTATTCAAGGTTAAAAGCCATGTACCTTTCAGAATGTCCTAGGTGCGAGTCATGGAATAACTCTGAGAGACTTCAGTTATCAAGCGACTGCTCAAACCAAACTCCTTTTACTTCCATTTGCTAATTATGTGAGCAAGGTTTCTGAGCGTTCAAATCAATAAAAATAAATATATATATATATGAATAGAATTGATGCTAAACGGTAATATTCATCAGTGGCTACATGAACTAATTTGGGGGAAAAGGTTACTAATGTGCCATGATAATTAAACTTTATTTTGTACATTTAGTATTATCAAAGTATGTTTACGCTGGTTTAATTAACTGAATATGAATGATACCTGTTTTAGATGTTAAATAACTGATGGTTATCAAATAATAGTTGTTGTCAGTGTTGACTGATAAACTTTTCCAAATAATTTTAACTCTAGTTTTACAGTCATAGAAATTTAAGAAAATTTTATAGATACTTAGATAGATGATAGATAGATAGATACACTAAATTTTTGTTATAGAGGAATATAATAGTGTTACAAATGAAAGGCTTTTGAGCATAAAAATAGATTACATTAGGATAAACTTATGTGAATTAGTGAATTGGAAATTCAAGGAGTTCAAGGAGAAAAATAAATATGTAAAATTTTCAACTTTTAAAGAAGTGCTTGTCTTTTATTTAAATATCAAATCACAGTGATATTTGGTATCCAATGTATTATTTAAAAGAGTAGTATATGGTGTTATTTCAATATATGTATGTATACATATATAACTATATAAATACATGTACATATATTTATATATATAATTGGTAGAAAACTAATCCTTTGTAAATATTTAAATTTATGGTGGAAAAATTAGATGTCTATGTTAAAATACGTGAGGATGTTTTTCATAACTGTTTCAGACAATATGTACCCAAGTATGGCTGAAGACCAATGTTGTATAGAATGCTTTCAGAAAAAAGTAATGGAAAACCCTACAAGCAATGGTTTAAACAAATAGTGGTTTAGGTTACTGACATAACCAGAAGTCTGGGAGTAGGCAGTTTCAGGGCTGTGAGGAAGCAATAACAGTATCTGCCACAACCTCCTTTCAAGGAATCTGGTATTTTACCCCAAATTCCCACAAGCAAGTCTCTATATTTTCCATATTCTTCCTTTAGGCTGTTATGTCTACTTGATTATAGTGTTTATCACATTCTCCCTAGAATATAGTTATTATATACTTGTTACACCTTGATGGACCATGAATATGCCATGGTTAGAGACACTGTCTTGTTCTTCTGTAAGTTTCTTATAACATACAGCACAATGCCGCACCCAGAAATCACAAACTCTGGGTTCAAGGTTATCTTGTTCACGGCTGCCAGTGATGGAAAGACATGCCCCTTTCCTGATACAGTATAGGGAAGCATCGATTAACTGTGGTTTTGTTTAATCCTTACTGCAGCTTAACTCAAGAGTTGTAATAACCAACCTGTAAGAATGGCTAGAAATAGTCATTAAGTTATGAATATTTACAAACTGCTCATTGGATAGTAAGCAACAACTACTACTTGCATTCAGTTAATCATGGTTCCTCTAATGCAGTATTCGTTTCACTTTGGGAAATCACCCCAAAAACAGTCTGATGTAGAAATACTTAAAATAATTTTACCTCCTAGAATTTCAAGCTTAAAAGTAGATTTTAATGACGAGGGGAAGATGTTTTATAGGCTCTAACACAATATTTCAGTTTTGCAACCATGCAGTTCTGTGGTCCCATGAGTAACAAAGTTTCTTATAGGGCAGCCTATAAATGACTAATCAGAAGAAACAAAGCTGCTGAGGTGGGGAACGGGAAACGGTGTTTTAGTGTTAATAGAACAATACTCAGCAAAGCCTCACCTCACTGAAAATGTTCAGCTCAGTGTATGAGAATAGTGGAGGTAGGTCAATCAAGTTTCGATAGTTTCTATAAAAATTATATTTTATAGTAATTTCAACTGTAAAAAAGGAAATTACCATATTTTGCTGTGTATAATGTGTGCTTTTTCGCTCAAATTTATGAGGGAAAAATAAGGATGTACATTAGATTAATACATGGGTAGTACTAATTCCATATCTATATAAATGTTTTTAATTATTTCATTTATGCTTATGAGTTAAAAATGTAACTCTAGAAATCAATAATATTCATATGCAAAATATCCTGGAATATGGTAATCGGTTTTGTTGAACTTATGATGAACTTGGCAACCGCGAAGAGTTCTTGGCCTTCTATGATGCGTAAATATCATAAATTTGTTACTGGTACATAACATTTCTTGTACCTTGTATCTGTTCTTGTGTTTTGTAATTATTTGTTACATAAACTTTCTTGTACCATAATATGTTTAAAAATAAGTGCTAAAATTCCTTTATAATACAAAAGAAAACAAGTACCTAAATATGAACAAATAAAAATTTGAATTAAAAAGTTAAAACGAAAGAGTTTTTTCCCTGAAAGTTTGGGCCAAAAACATGGGTGTGCATTATACACAGGAGCACGTTATACACAGCAAATTTCTACTTATAGAAATTTGATGAACAACCAACTTTCCTGCACACCTGTGAAAATACGCAGTGTTGGTGTTTAAGATAAACTAATGTGCTCTGTACAGAATGGAGACCCCTCACAGAGTGTCATAATAGTGAACATGTGATTGTTTCAATAAAGTAACACTTAAAGGTGTACTAATTGTTTTATATGTCATCTAATAATTATGTCCTTGGAAAATGTATTACTATATTTAAAGTCCAACTGTTACTATACAATAGGTTTCTTTTAATAGAAAATATTGAGCCCAGGTAAATGAAATAGTCATTAAAATAACTATAAATAGATACATAAAAAGTGACAAGAACCTCAATCCCACTAAAACAGAGAAAATAGTACCTTATTTTTGAGAAAAAAAATAATATGTTAAATTTTGAAATTCACATTTAATTATTTTGTTGATTTTTTTTGAAAATACATATATTAAAATGTGGAAAATAAAATTAATATATGATTTTTTTTTAATTTAAGACGTCAATTGGAGTTACTTTCTATTTGCTCCACATCCTTTATGTGCTGACTCTAAATGGTTCCAGCATTTTATCCAGCTTTTTTCCAGTCACTTATGAGACACTTACTTTTAAATTGAGCAGATATGAATAATTGATTTTTAAAATTGGTATTTGTATTTGCTTTATTTCATTTTAATGTATAGGATATTTACCTAAGGAATTATAGGTACATTAAAACTTATTTTAAATGCACATAAGTAACTATTTATAATCCTGTGATGAATTTCTTTATAAAGCAGATAGTCACCCTTTATTTTATAGTTGGTGAACATATCGAGTTTGCTTAAAGCAAGATCTACCTGGATTAAAGGTTAAGTTCTTTGGGAATACTTTTACACTTTGAAAGTTAGCATATATTGCTTTATTGTGAAAGTGGCTTTACCTTTCGGTTGAGATAAATAAGATATACTGGATCAATTCCTTCTCTGATTTACTGTGGTTCCCTTGGGTAAGTCATTTAGTTTACATGTGCCTTAATTTTTAGTTATAAAACAAGGATAATAACAGTTCTTATATCAGACATTTTTATGAAGTGCTTATGTAAAATACTGAAAGATTATTAAACTAGATATAAAACACTTCAAGATAATAATGATGCTTTATTTGGATAGTATACTTTATTTTTCAGAGTATTGTCATAAGCACCGCTCTCTTCCATATTTTTACTGCCTCTCTGAAGCAGTCATAGCAGTATCACATCCCTATTTTATAGATAATCTGATTTTTCTACAGTCATACACTATACTCAACCAAAAATCAATTAAGGAAACAAATATGTCAAAGCACCTATTACATATTTGAAAACCTGCTTCACCTATTGGGGAATCCTATAAATATTACCCATGAGCATTGGTGTTTCTTCTGACATTTAGGAATAAAAATTTACAAAGTTCTCCTACTGTGTACTGTGGAGGAAGAAAATTAGTATGTATTTTAAACAACTGCTATGTGCCAGATTCTTTCTTAGCTTGTTTAAGCCTCCAGTACTGTAAGGGAGGTGGGGTTAATTGCATCGTACGTATGTCGAGCTTTGTTCCTAGACAAGCCCAGAGTGCATCTGTATTCTAGAGAGAGCTGAGCTTGCAAACCCCATAAGGTTGTCGAGAGATTTCAACGCCTATGAGCGTGGTTCCCAGCACATATCTGACATTTACTGTTTTTACTGCTGCTTCTCTCACTGCCACCACTACCTTTTCTACAAGTACTTTTCTTCTGTTACTTCAATTATAATCACTCTCCCTGTCTCAAGAACCTCTGATTTTTTATCAGGATAGATAAACAACTACAACATAGGAACACAACTGCATTAGGCAGGCTATGTGCAAACCCATTGAAAGTTGAGAACAGGACGCATCTAACTCTGCCAGGGTGAGTTATACAGGCTGCCCAAAGGGAAACCCCAGGGTGCAGAGGCCACCCCTGTCCCATCCCTCATCACTGCCCTTTCCAGGTCATTCACTTTAAACTCCTGTGTAAAACTTCTTCCTTAGTTAAGGGTCATACTACCAGAAGGAGAGAAAGAAGAAAACAGTGATAAGAGGGGGGTGGAGGGGAAGAAAACAAATGAACACATTTTCTTGTAATATAAGACTCAGACCTCTAGACTGAAAGGCCTCACCCAACACAGTAATGACAAAGGCCCGCTACTAGTGAATTAGAAGCTACTAAAAAGCATGGCGGGGGAGGGGGGGGGGGGGGAGACAGATCGCATTTTAAACATTGAAAACTAAGCACGGAAAGGAGAAAGCAAAAGGCCATCTTGAACAACGCACTTCTCAGGCACCTGAAGACACTGGTCCAATGAGTGCTTTGGGGAAAGGCTGGGATACACCAAGAAGCTGTGGGGTACAGGAAGCAGAGGTACAGCAGAGCAGAGAGACGGCCTGAAAGCCCAGTGAAGGCAAAGCGACCGTCTAGGGCAGACGTGGGGAACAGCAGCCCAGATGACACCAAGTGGACAGAGGGCTTTGGGAAGGAGATTTGTAGGGGATGGAGAGGAGGTGGGTAAAGGATGGGTATATTATCAGAGACTTTTAATCTTTGAAAATTAACAGTGACAAGGATTTGACAGATCCCCTTAAAGAAGGCTAGTGGGTCCATGGGAAAAATAGCAAAGGAAGGAAAACAAGACAACTATCAACTTTAGGAGAAACACGAAAGTTCAGCAGTACACAGTTTTCACATAGTTATATCTGTATTCACAATTGATTCATCAAAACTGGTGTTCTAACTAGAAATAGGGGGTTGGGAGTTTCAAAACAGCTAAATTTACAGTAATAGGAAATCAGTCCTTAATGTTTAAAATCACTTAATCACTGAATATCAGCATAATCGTATTTGGCTAAAAGAATTGACAGTGGTTTCTCTGGACAGAGCTTAGGGGTCAGGATAGATGAGACAAGACGCTGCTGATTTTAAACCTTTTTGTTTATTTGGGGCTTTTTAAAAACTGCATATATGCATTTGATTTTTAAAAATATTGTTCTTCATAGTAAAAGGCAGTCCATACCTGGAGGGGGACATATGTTAATCCCGTTGTTGGGAAAACTACAGCGAATAATTTCTTTCTGGATTCGTTGGTGATTGCTCCAGATGTCACTTACAGATACCAACAAGTGTCCATGCCTGCGTCAGAGGTGGGTGGAGTCTGACCTCCAGGGAGCATCACTGCCTATGAGCTTGAGAAATGTCCCAGCCAGAGCATAGACAAAGCCTATTACTGGAGAGGCTGTTTATTCCCAGGCTGGCACCGCAGAGGCTAGAGAATCCGTAGATGTCTTGGTGGGTACCAGAAAACGTGCCCTTTCAACGTAAGCACCTCACCTGCCTGCAGCTGGCATGGTGAAACCACGCCATGGGCGAAGACCTCCTTTCTGCATCAGGAACGTGAAAATAACTTTGGAAGGCTTTTGTAAGGATAGGAAATCTTAATAATCCATGCCATGTGTCTGAAGAGTGCTCAGTACATAGAGGCACCCAATACCTCTGTTCCTGAAAAAAACAATACATAGCATTGGTAGTAACATGAATATCGTTCCCTAAGACTGGCCTGTTCGCAGTCTGTTTGCCACGAAATGTCTCTCGATCTTCTTGTGCTCGATGTTTACAATGAATTTTTACAGTGCGTTTGAGGCAGGGCACTGCCAAGGGCTGGGGACATACTATACCGAATGACGTAACTCCTGTTGAAAGGTGTCACCAGGGAGGTCAGTAGTCAGAGTCCAGTGGACGCTCGGTGGGGTGGGCCGGGCAGGGCCAGGCAGGGGAGAGAAGGCACGGGCTCCGCCACGCAGTGGCTCACTCCGTCTTGGCGTGTTCTCAGCCAGAGTCCAGTGCTGTCAAGGTCCCTTCCCTGATGCTCCACGGTTCACCCACGGGCTCGGTGGGGCAGAGCCAGAGGTTATAACATTCTGGTGTTTGTAATGTTTTTGTTTTGTTTTGTGTTTTGTTGTTTTTTTTTAACTCCAACAATCAGAAGGTCATAACTTGTAATGATGCTATAATTAAGTCGTGGTAACTGATAGCATTTGTAGATTTTATAACCAGGATTGATTCATACAATGAATGAATCCAGTCCCAGCCGTTTATGTTAACATAATTAAATGGAAATTTAATTCTAACTGAGTTTGCTTATTAAATTGAAAATTACTGGGTTATGAGCACTCTTGCATTTCTGTCAAAATTGGTGTAAGTCTAGAATTACATGAAATATCCATTAAAAGAACGCATATTTCAGGCTGTTGCTGGTGGCGAATCCATTTCTTAGAGCTTGTGCGGGCTGATGATGCGAGAGCCCGTCCTCTCAGATCGCCTCACGCTAACTCCTCTTCTCATTCCTCTGCAGCCATTGGTTCAGCCCTGGGGCCAGGACAGAGCACGGCCAGGTAAGGAACATTCTACCCCGAAGGCAGTCACTCAGCCTCTTTCAAATATTTCACTGTCTCCCTTCAGTGAGCATAGTAGGTCAGGTTCAGGAGAAGGGCGTAAATCCCAGTTTCCTTAGAAAACAGTTAACTGTACCAGGGCCTGAGACACTGACCAGGCAGGCGCTCCTCGTAAGCGTCGGCGCTCTCCCTGACCGCCACCTTCCCCTGTCACACGTGTCACCTCCAAGAAGACTCTGGAACTCACTGCTGTGTTTTTCACCAAGTTAAAGTACCAAGTAGTACATATGTTTAATTAATGAATTTGTATTCAATGTGAGATCAGCCAACAAGAGAGCGTTTTTATCTTTGAAGTTTCAAAGATGGCAAATAGTTTCTCACAGGTTTACATTATATTTCTAGATGAGTTTTGGGTTTTTTTTAAATCTCTTATTAGTATACATGGTAGTATGATTAGTTGACTTAGCAAGAACTTGACATTCATTTTCGTTAACTTTGCATATGAAGTTTACATACAGAGGGTGCCAAAAAATGCATTTTAGATAACATCTCTTAAAATGTGTATACCTTTTTTGGCACTCCTGGTATAAAACAGTTTACTTTCTTTGTCCGTTGAATGTACTAGTTCTCTTCCTGTAGCATGCTAAGGTAATTTGGGGATTAAACTTTTTATCAGTTTTAAAGTATATATATTTTAGGCTTTGCAGCCTTCCTAAGCTTTTTTTTTCCATTGTTGATTATAAAAGTTATGTTTTTAGATGGGTCAAAAATATGATATGTGAGAAATACCTTTAAATAGATGGGAATGATAAACCCCAAATCTGCAGGGGTCATTTCTTCTCGGGGGCAGGTAGGTAAAGAAGGGGTTGGGCCTCGTAACTGTAGTTGGAACCACTGCCACACTGGTGATGTTTTATTTCCTAAGCTCAGCAGCTTGCATTGGCCAAACTTCCTCTTATAAAAGGAAGGTGCCAAGTATTTCATTATAAGTATAGCTTATAATATACGCATGAGCCTAATTAATGAAAAATACCTTGTGAATTCAATTTTAATGATTTTTTTTTGTAAACTTGCCTTTTTCCATGAGAGCAATTCGCCCTTTTAAAGATACTTTGCACATAGTGATAGCATATGTACTACTATTTCTAAAGAGTTGGAAATTAACTAGGCGGCCTCTGTGATGCATTTATCTTATTATTCAGAATGTAAAAATTAGACTTTCTGCTTTCCCAAATGGTTCAAGTCTGTGCACGATGCTTGCAGTAAGATTCTGCTTCTAGTAGTGAGTTGCATCGGCACATATGCGTACTTTATCCCCCAAAATACAAATTTTTAAAGCCCACTTTCTACCTTTTAGAATTTGAGAAATACTACAGTGATGTTATAAATTGGCATCTCAGATTACAGTATAACTGGTTGCTTCTAGCCCACTTTTATTTCTGCAGTTAAAAATTAACTAATAGCTAATACATATAGATAAGAAAGTTCCCCAATTCCTTTTCTTTTAATTTTAAAAATATTTTTGATCAATTTTTGAATCAGCCTTTTGCTTAAACTTGGATATACCAGTTCATATTTTTATCTTGACTATATAGGTTATTCAGTAATAAATATAAGTTGAATCCTGCTATTTGCAGTAGCTATGTTCTGTAGAGTTCATGCAAGCGCTAAAATAGTAAATCCAGAAAGCTTAGCTTCTTGGGAGCCTCTCACAACACTGTCATTAACTAATCAATTCATAACCTTGTTTAATGCGTGTTTCTGTTTAAAGACACCTTATTTATTACCTATCATTGAGCTCACGACCAATAGCACCATAACTTATTCCTGAAGAAAGCTCACCTAACACACATATTTTCTCTAAAAGGCCCTTCACCACTTTCTTACACTTCTTCACCGCTACGCTTGGGGACCATTTTAAGCAATGGTATCATTAACATGAACACAAAAATACAAAAAAATAATAATAATAACTGCAGCACTACAGAGGCCGTGGAAAAGGCACTCGTTTACAGTATGAAAGCTGAACGAGAAGGCGGAGCGTGACCTTGTCAGACCTCAGCTGGGAACATAACACTACAGGGGACTCAATTTTTTACCACTCTGCACAGATCTGCAAATGCAGAAGTGCCAGAAGTGTTGATTTTTGTCATGACAAATTTTAGCAAATAGACAAATTCGCAAATATGGAATCCACGAATAATGAGGATCGACTGTACATATGTGTGTATAAAATACACATACGGGCTGCCGACATTTTGAGGGATAAAATTTTCTGAGTTTAGCTTAGACGTAACTCTAGCACAGTAAACTGTTGGCCAAACCTAGGTGCACATGAAGAAATGCGAGCCCATGAAGAAGTATAAAATCCTTCAGGAGACTGCTGAGTGAATGACTGACTGTTAGCATGCGTGATCACCTTTTATTTTTTCCATACCAACTAATAAAGAAATAATGTTATCCCCACTTCTTTTGAAATCTCACCCCTTACTGTTATACTCTCTGCCATTTTATGATTCCTCTTTCTTGCTGTTCTTTTGTGCTAAATGTCCTTTCTGTCTACGCCATGCATACTTATCATTCTTTTATTACACATTTAATAAATACCTATTATCCATCAGCATTATCTATTGGGTACTCTCCATTTTTGCAAAAAGAGGCATTTGTAAACACAACATAGCTTTTCCCCTGAGGTGGTTATAACCTGGGGCAGGAAAGAATAATTACAGGATGCTGTGAGACATTAGAGAGGGGGCGACAACAACAATAAAGAGCAAAGTCAGTACAGAAGTGGAGGTCGCGAGGGAGATGCAGCTGTAGGAAGCATCGTTTTTTTGTGTGTGGATTTTTTTGGTTTTGGGGGTTTGTTGGTCTTTTTTAATTCTGAGCCTTTTCCTCTTTGAACATCTTATGGTCTGACATTTTGATTTGAGTTTGCAAGTATCTTAATGAGTCATAGATCATAGTTGAGGTATTGCTTAGTTCTCCTTTTTAAGGTTGAGAACACTGGGAGGCCAAGTGTGCAGAGACTTGAAATTATTTTGTAGGTGTTTGAGGAGTAACCTGCCAATATAAACACTCCTGAACGTGACTGCCTTCTGAATATCAGGCAGTAAGAGAGGATTGCTATGGAATAAGACTTCTGCTCTTTGCTGCTTCTTCTTGTGTTAGGAATTGGGCACTTTTAATAATCTTGTAAAAATATGAGTAGCCACATAAATTCTTAGCTTTCTCTCTTTAAGAACCATTATGCACAAGGAACACTTATCTTCCTGGTTTAATTCAGCAATTTGTAAAATTGTGTCCCATTTTTAAACCTCACATTATACTAGGTTTTGTGTTTATGGATTTTAATGTAATTCTTATGTGAGTCATTTTTAATATACACCTGCAGGTCACTAATAAGGGAATTGTACCTCCGTTGGGCCTAAGTCCAGCAATCTGAAAGTTGGAAGGTAAGAAGCACTTCGCACCATATTCAGAAGTTCTGTATTTAATCAGAGTTGACGCTGTGGAGTCAGAACCCTGAGAAATGACCTCACTTGTGACACTGATAGCAGTTTAAGTAAACAGAAGTTTTATCAATAAGAAGAATGAGATACTGAGCTATATAGTCTTGCTGATTAGAGCAGAGCTCGAGGATTCTCATGAATTTATGACTGGATGCCTGTCCTCCCATTTTTGTTCTTGGGGCATCACAGAAGTATGCTGGGAATCTTCCAAAAACAAGTATGTTTTCTATTCTAGTAATGCTCTGGATTAACTTTTTCATCTTTGTACCTTAAAAGATGTAGGTTCCCACAGTAACTTGTTAAATTCATGGCCCAGACATCTGATCCTATATATATATATATTTTTTTATCTGAGCTTGATTGTAAATTTGCACAATTACCACAAGATTTGCAGTTTTATTGCTAAAGTGAGGTAGTTTTGTGATGGTTTCTTAGAAGTACATTATATGAAATAATTCCAATAATTGTCTTTTTATATACAAAGCCCATCAGAACTGAGGAAGAAAAGAAATCCCCATATGAATTAGATTCCCCATATGAATCTAATGAAACGAGCTCAAACGTCCAAGTTCAGAGAAGGTGCTGATTCGTTTAACCCTCTCTGAGGACTAGCCAGACCCATAGGAGCAGCCTAATATTTATTTTGGTCATCATAGTTAGGTTTTTTAAAAATTAAACTATAGAATTCTTATTTCAGAACATCGTGTTTCGGATATTGAGTTATTTGCTTGAACTGTTTTAACACAAACCTCAGGAATACTGCTCAAATATCTGTCTTTTATCTTAAAATCAGAAAAGTTAGCTAACTACTGCCATTAATTTAAGGTGGAGGTAGAGATTTAATCATGCCACCTCTAGCTATCTGTGTCACAAATGTTGGTTTGTGTATATATACATATATATATATATATATATGTATATATATATATTTCTTAAAAGGCACTAGACCTAGAAATACCGAAGTAATTAATATATATTTTTTTTATTTTCAGAAACAATTTAGTTTTCATGGTACGAAGTGTTTCTAAATTGAAACACTTTCAGATTAATGGACTTAAGATAAATGGTTGCTATTTTCTATAAGTCGTAATAATGAGATACGGCTTCAGCCACGTATCAGATACTAGATCTCGCTCCCTATTTCTTTATCTCATTTATTCATTCATTCAACAAATATTTATTGAGCAATAAAAAGACATCCGGGACACTGTGCTGGACCTTGGATATGCAGGCCAAATGAACAGCGGAAGTGAGCGGCCGGAGGTGAGGGAGAACTTGGAACACGCCCCAGGCTGAAAAATTCAATATGGCTGAGAGACAGAATTTAGAAGTAGGCTGGGTTGGGGTAGGACGAAGTGTCACACATTATGAGTTTAGAAATGTAATTAAATTATGAAGGGCCATGAGAGCCTCGCACAAGACTGTGGGGTTTATCTGAAGAGAGTAGTGCAATCAGATCTAATTTCAGAATTACCGGCTGTGATGTGGAGAATGGATTAGCTGGGAGCAAGGCTGGAAGCAGGGAGGCACTGAGAGGCTGTTCCAGGTGAGAGAAAATGATGGTCTGGACTAGGACGGTGGTAGTGGGGATGGAAAGAAGGAGATGTTTAAAAGAAATTTAATATATGCTTATTTAGTTAAGACATTCCTGAAAGAAGGGAAATCTAACCACATTCCTGGTGATCTGATTAAGGTCTGTTCCTTCTCAAAGATGGCCAAATATTGCTAATAATTGATTCTAAGTGATATCATTAAATAGGTTCATGGAGTTATTTCATTCAAAGCCATAGCTGCTGGTCAGACAATACCCACCAACAGCAGGCATCTTACATGGTTTATCATCCTTAACACAGCAGCCTTATAGGGAGCTATTATCTCCATTTTAGAGATGAAGACTGGGGCTCAGAGAGGTTAAGCACTTTGCCTAAGGTCACACAGTTTGTGAATGGTGGGTCTCTTATTAAAAGCACGTGACTGATCGGTTAGGGGCACGGTGAGGATCAGAACCCAGATCTCTCCTGCAGTGTTAGTTCTAAGAGTTCTGGTTTTGTGAGGGTTAATTTCTGAGATGGTGTACAACTTCTTTTTTAGCCTAGTCTTGTATATAATCATTTTCTGCATAAATAACCTAGTTTGAGTGAACACACAGTAAAGAGCCTTGACTTGTTTTTTCTTTTCAAATGAAGTAAGTGAAGGGCAGTGGATGGTGAGGCATTCCCAGAAGGCAACCAAATACTACGTAATGTTCTAACTATCTATTTTTAAGCTAATCATCTGTTTGAAAAAGAATGCTTTAAGTGGGCGTCTTCACCATGTTAGACCAGTAAATGCAGATAAAATCCTACTAGACCCTTTAGTCAGTGTAGGTGGCCGAGTCCCCAAACCTCGATAGGTGACCGCTGCGGAGGAGGCCATTGGTAAGAGGGGTTGGTTATGTGATTCCACCAGGACCACTCCGGAGAACCAGGGTTAGAGCCGAGGTGGAGACCACCCGCTCTAGGCTGTGTGATGACTGACTGCCAGACCGCGGGGCTGCTAGGGAAGCACCCCACTGCCAGCTCTGTCTAACATCTTCACAGGACAGTCGATGGCATCTCTAGGAAAAGGAGTAGTGTTTTAGAGAAGCCAGGAGGAAACTAAAGTATGCAAGTAAAGGACTAGTGTTCCTCTGAATGATAAGAACATTTTTCTGCTTACATAAAAATGTAATGAAAATATTTTTGTTTCCGCAACTTTGTCTTAACACTTTGGCGGCACCAGCTTCTGAGAGAGAACCGGGCTGAGAGAGGGCACAAGAAAACTTGTTCTGTGAAAACAGCCAGCAGGTAAGCAACTTAAAATCACTTTTAATGGCGATGGTTAAGTCATGCGCCATGTTTTCTGTACCAGGGTGAATATGCCGTGTTGTAGCTGGGTTGCCTTTGGTTCTGAAGAGTCAGCTTGAAACATTCTGTGTATTGTTTATCAGAATATACTTCAGAATTACTAGTAATGAATAGAAAGATACCATTTTGTGTGTATTTTTAAAAGCTGGTGAAAATAAAGAATGAATTTTTAAAAGAAGTTTTCTATCTCCCATAACTAATGAATTTTAGATCAGGATTTAGAATAATTATTTTTTTAATGTAAAAAGGCAGAATTAATCCTTTCCCCCAAATGTAAGTGGTACTTAGACCTCATGAAAGAGCAACATGTGTATTTATTCTTATAATATATAAATGAATATATAGAAAATATGCTCTTTTAGAAAGGGCTTTTAGGTTCTTGCTCATTTGATATTGCTGAGTCGATGTTTTTTTCTTTTTCTTTAATACAAAGAATTTGCCCCAGTTTATTGTTTTAGATGATATAGTTTCAAAGTTTACATGTGGTGTTTCTGAAGACTTACTTTTGTTTAGATGAAAATGCCTTTCAGAATATCAGTCAGGACTAGTGCCCTGAGATTTACACTTATTCAGTTTTAAACAAGACGAGACGACTGACCTCAGTAGCCACCACTGCATCCCATGGCATCCCACTGCCACTGCTCGTACACTGACCAGTGTGCCAGTGTTCCCAAGCAGGAAACGTAGCTTTAAAGTGCCATGGTGTACAAACTAATCCCGACTGAGAACCCACGGGACGCCTGCAGAAGCAAATGTAAATCCTATCTTGCATACCTAATTTAGACAATCAAAAACTACCCAGCATGTAATAAGTGAGAGTCAACAGAAAACCAATGTATGTACCACTAAGAATGTCAGACCCTAAAATTATAAAATACAAATTATAATCTGTATAAATTTTATACAGATGGTAAATAACTATGTATGAAGTGTTTATAGAAATAAAATGAACAGGCAACATGTCACCATTAGAATTAATCGGGCAGAGTTGAAAAAACCCATAATTGTTAGACATTAGAAATATGATTTTTAAAGAGACATGGAAGTGGAATTACACAACTGAAGAAACAGGCCAGAATATATTGGGTTGTTGGAAAAGTCATGACTTATTTTTTCTATGTGTTTTATTGCAAAAATGCGTCATGGCTTTTCTGACAACTCAATAGCATAAAAATACAAGGAGTTGGGAAAATAAAAGGGCAGCTACAAGACACAGAAACAGTCTAAGATGTATTTAATCAGAGTCCTTGATGGAGAGTATAGAGGGCTGGGTAAAAAAATTTCTGAGGAGATGTTTGCTAAGAATTCCCCAAACGGGTGGAAGTTATAAATCCATAGATGCATAGGTAGAAAGCACAGTGAATAGCAAGTGAAGAAATAAAAAGAAACCCACACCTAGCACTGGACTGTAGTACGCCACCACCAAGAGGAAGATCCTAAAAGAATCCAGAGAGAAAGGACGAATTATCAGCACAGGGGCTCACAGTGCTGTATTTGTGAGGAGCTGGGAACTTGATGGGACTCGGTGACAAATTATATCTTCACTCCAGCCCCTGCCAACTGGGAGTGAGGAGAGGGAGAGAGTTTTCCTGACCAGAGGAGTTGTTTTGTGAGGTCAGGTGCGATGACGGTGGTTTTCTGGTGCCAAGGCGTCTCTCTGAGATTCCTTTAATCTCAGTCACTGTTGCACTTGGACTGACCAGAAGACTGGCCTTTCCCCATAGTACTGCCCGGTAGGACAAGAGAGTTAAGACAACTGAGAACAGCCTTTTCCAAAGGAAAATAATACAGGATTGCTGATTCCAAAAGAAACAGAAGTGTTGGAACAAGAAGTCAAAAAATGCAAAATAAGCACACTAAATATTAACTAAAAGAGATACTGAAAGATACAACAATATGAGGCAAGAAATAGAACACATAATTAAGAACCAAATACTTAGTTCTCTTCAGTTTTTCTCAGCTGTGTTTTATAGTTTTCACTGTATAGGTCTTATACATATTTTATCAGATTTCTCCCTAAGCATTCCATCAAATGTTTGATGTATGAGAGCAGTGCTGAGAGAAACTGAAGAAGAACTACATCGCTGGAGAGATGTACCTTGTTTGTGGGTCAGGAGACTCACTATTCTTAAGATGTCAGTTCTCCCCAAATTTAACGATAGATTTAACAAAATCCAAACAAAAATCCCATCAGGCTATTTTATAGAAATTGACAACCTAATTCTGAAAGTCACATGGAAATGCAAAGGACTTAGAATAGCCAAACTTAAAAAAAGAATAAAGTTGAAAGGTGAGCACTCCCTGATTTCGAGACTTATTTTAAAGACACAGTAGTCAAGAAAGTGTGCTATTGATGCAAAGATAGACAAACTGATCAATGGACTAGAACACAGAGTTAAGAAATACACGTACACATATACAGACCACTCATTTTTGAGGAAGTACAAAGGCAATTAATTAGTGGGGGGAAAACGGTGTTTTCAACAAGTGGTCCTGGAACAACTGGACATCCATTGGCAAAAAAACGAACTTGGATTCATACTTCATACCACACAGCAAACTCAACTGAAATGGATCATACAGCTCCATACAAAACCTAAAACGATAAAGCTTCAGGGAGACACAGGATAAAATCTTTCTGACCTTGGATTAGGCAAAGGCTTTTAGATAGAACCCCAGAGCATGATCCACAAAAGAATCAATCGGTAAATTAGACTTAATCAAAGTTAAAAACCTCTGCTCTTCAAAAGACACTTTAAGAGAATGAAAAGGTAAGCCACAGACTGGAGGAAAATATTTGCAAATCATATGTCCGATAAAAGACTCATATCAAGAATATATATAGAACTCTAAAAACTCAGCAGTGCAACTCAATTAAGACTTAAGCAAAAGTTTAAAGAGACACCTTGCCAAAGGGATGTGGATGGCAAATATGTTAAACATCACTATTCATTAGAAAAATAGGAAATAAAACCACAGTAAGGTACGACATACAAGCATTAGAATGGCCAGAATGAAAATGGCTGACCTTACACAGTATAGAGGAAAAGGAATTGTTATAGGGAATGTAAAATAGTGCAGACACTCTGGGAAGTAATTTGGAAGTTTCTTAAAATGATTAACATGGTCCAGGTGAGTACCTAGAAGACTTGTATACAGATGTTCTTTGCAGCTTTATTCACATTAGTTAAAAAAAGAGAAAGAAAGAAGCAACTCAAATGTCCATCGACCAGTAAATGGATAGACAACCTGTGGTATATTCATATAGTGGAATACCATGCAGCAGCAGAAACGAATGAAGAATAGATACACATGTATATAACATTCTAGGAAATGTAAACTAGCACACAGCGACAGGAAATCGATCAGTTGTTGAGTGGGCGTGGGATGAGGGTCAGGGAGGTACTGGAGGGAAGGATGACAAAGGGGCATCAAGAAACTGTTGGGGTGACGGGTGTCTTCATTCTCTTGATGAGGTAATGGGTTTCACATGCATGTGCAAATGTCAAAACTTGTAAGATTGTACACTTAAAATGTGTGCATTTTGCTTGTGTCAATTACATCTCCATGCAGATCTTTAAAAAAAAAAATTTAAATAAAATCTTCAGTGGCTTTCTATTTCATTCCAAGTAAAAGCCCAAGTCCTTATCTTCCTCCACAGGCCAAATGTGATCTGGCCCCGCCCATCTTTGATTCCTTCCTCACTTAAGCTCCTCCCACTTTAACTCCTACTCACCTGTGCCTCCAGCACACACACCCTCAGTCTCAGGGCCTTTGCACTTGCTACTCCTTCTGCCAACGACACTCCCGGCAACTATCCATGTGTCTTGCTCCCCATTTCCTTCAAGTCCCTGCTTAATGTAAGAAAGGGCCCACGTGCCACCGATGCCATCTTACTCTGCCTTACGTGTCTTCCTTATGGTCCCTCGTACCCTCCTCTAAGCTGCATGAGGACAAAGTCTTTGCCTTGTTCTCTGGCATAGCCCCAGTTCCAAAATCAATACCTGATCCACAGGCCATAAGTGCTTGTTGCATATGCTGTTTGTGGAATGAATTTAAAATGATTTCTCCAGTTGTGCCTTGCACTGTTGTGTCCTTATCTTGGCCTGTCTGTGCAGCCTCTGCAGTTAGAGTGCCTGACTTCTAATCCTGGTTGCACCACCTACTCGCTCAGTGACCCTGAGCACGGTACTAACCTTCTCTGGTCCTCAGTTTACTTATCTGAGGAAATAGGAGAGGAAATAGCACCTGTCTCCCAACATTGTCCTAGAAATATATGAGCTAATGCCTATAAAGCATTTGCAGTGTAAAAAGAGCTCAAATGTTAGCTGTTATTAAAAGTACGGTATTGTTATTTCCACCTGTGTGTTTCCTTAGCACCCATTACATTTTATTTTTTATCGTATTTTTTTTTGTGCACAGTTTACAATGTCAAATCATTCTGTAAGATTCCTAACCAAGTACAGCAGACCCCAGTGCTGTCATTCTCCATTCCCTAATTTCACCCTCAAAGGAAACCACTTTCAACTCTTTCAGCTGTTTCTTCTAAATTACTAAATGACCTAAATTACTATGTCTTAAAGTCTTTACTTGAGTATTATTGACTTGCTACAGTGTGCCCTACACACACACACACACACACACACACACACACACACACACACACATCTGCATCTCTTCCCCTCTTTCTCCCTAAATGTTATAGCATAATATTCAGACCAAATCGATATTCATGGTTTCCATTAATATGATTATATACGAGCATGTAGATATTATTCATGGATGTATAACTTTTCTGTTGTGGAGGTTATTGTCTGGTTTTCATTTTTCTTTGTTTTCTACGTGCCCAGCCCCAGCTGCTCTACACAGAGTCCACCTCCTCTCAGTTCTTTTAGATCCATTCTGGACTGTTCGCTGTCTGGACCTGCTGCGCAGCTGAT